TAATCAGGGCTGCAGTTGCGAATATATAATTAAGATTGTAGCTGTGAATATATAATTAGGGTTACAGTTGTGAATATACAATCAGGGTTGAGGTTGTGAATAATTAAAGGCAACATCGGTCGAAGGGAACAGGAAGGAAAAGAGGCAAGAGACAATACATCACAGCTGTGGTACATCCATCATGGTAAGATTGCTGTCAAATGCTACAGGCAAAAAAACAAATGGGGGGGGGGGGGGGGGGGTGAAGCTTGTATCAAGATAGAGCAAAGCGTTGCAATGACTGAAATATGTGGGAACCTTGCTCCGATTCAGTACGATGTCTATGTAGGCCTACTTTAAAAATAAGTGATCTAGGTCATTAAGGAGGCGGGCTTCAACCCCGCCTGTCACGGCCAGCCAACAAAAAAAAAAAAATACTTCTTAAAAATTCTCCCCACTCAGGAATCAAACTCAGAACTCCAGCATGCAACAGGGAAGCACCTAACAGCTACACCACAGACGTTGATATGTAGGCCTACATAGAGTTGCATTACTAGAAAGTAACATAGGCCCATTATATCATGAGCCTTTGCCCTATAGGTGGGTACCTAAAGTGTAGCACAGAGGGTTGATGCTAAAGTTTTTAATATCTAAAATAATTTCGTTTTTACTCCAATTTTTTAAATTTATATATATCTCCCCCTACAAAAACATGTATTCACAGAGCTGCGAATCACATATTTCTGAGCCATAAGTCCCTGAAAAGCCTGTGTAACTGGCGTACATAATCTCAAGTTAAATTCTTTCAGACATAACTATGATGACACGTTATTTAAAATTTGAACACCCAAAATTATTTTAATAGTTTTCTTATTGCTTTAATTTTCAAACATAAGCATGAAGAGCATATGAAATGGTGAGGATCACAGGAAAAAAAATTCGGAATGTCGTTGTGTTTGCATTTGTGTCATCATAGTTGTGTCTGAAAGAAAAGAAAAACTCCATTTTCATATCTTTCTTTTTTGAAAATTTTGGCAAACAAAGATTCAGAAGGTTCAGTTTGCCTCACAATGCAAGTTAAGGATGAAAAAATGCCACTTTATTCACATTTTACTATGAATCTCTGCAAAATATCAAATATCTTTCGAACATAACCATGATGACACAAAATGAAAAATACTCTGAACAGTAAGTTATGAAATTATTTTACTAGTTTCCTCATTGCTTTAATTTTCAAACATAAGTGTGAAAAGCATATAAAATGGTGAGAATCACAGAAGAAGAAATTCTGAATGACATTGTGTTCTCATTTGTGTCTTCACAAAATTACGCACTGTCACAGCCTTGGAATCAGACACAAGGAATCGAAGTTTCCTTGCGAAATTACGCCATGAGTTATGCTCGAAAATGAAAATCTAAAAGGCTCATGAACAAAAAACATCTACAGATATCTTTATTCTTGATATAGCACCACAAATAATGCAGTTATAGTAGTGAAAGAGTAGAAGGACGAGTTTTCAGCAATTACTTAATTGTTAAACTTGATGAAAGAAAAAGTACTAACTCAACGCGTCATGTTTTGCATTCTAAAAATATATTGATTTCAGAACTAAAAATATTTGTAACATTTCTTCGGACGGCTCGGAATAGGAAAGGATTTTGTAAGGTATATGAACCCCCCCCCTATTGGCAAAGGCTCATATATATAAACGAAACTTGGAGGAGATATAGAGACGATAGACATTTGATAAGAAAGGAGGGGCAAACCACTCTAGAGCACCAGCCAAACACCCGCTGGTACCACAAAAAACCATCACCTGTTAGTTTACCAGCAAAGTAACTTTCTGACACACTAGTAAACTTGTCAATTTTTTCAAAACCCAAAGAGGGACACACACACATAATAACATCACATTGCGTAACAATAAACAAAAGTACTTCAGTCAAGTAGGACTGGTTTTGGTGTAGTGTATGTGATAAGACTCAAAGGCCCACGAGTCCCATCAAGCCAGCACCATCTTTAAGTATGTTCAATGAAAAGGAAAAATCTTTAGCAATGTACGTACGGTTGCAAAAGCTTTAGCCAGGGTGGAGTAAAGCACCTACCCAGGACCGGGCAGTTTACAAAACCTGAGAGAAAAAAGAGTCCACTGATCACGGTTAAGGCAGCGAAAAATTTGCTGAAGGTGAGGGGTAACAAGTCATGGCAACACAAGGGGTAGGGAACACAAAACGTGGGTCAAGGAAGACGGGGGACAAACATGGTAAGCTAAGCCTGCTATACATAATACAACAATAAATTATACAGCTGCAGTTCACATTAGAATGCCCGTAAACCATCCACAAAATATGAAAGTCAGTCAACAGCCCCGGTAGGAGTACATTGCCAACAGAAAACTTTGTAAAAATACTCAATTGACTGTGAAACTGGCGAACAAGTTAGCCAGGAAAAAAAGAAATTGTAATTGTAGACGATTTTACGCCCTCACTGACACCACCTTAGATCAATTATAAGGCAGGCTGCTTCAACCCCGTCTTTCAGGGTTTACCAGGGTTCTGCAGGATCCAGTGTCCCACTACACATCCCAGATGATGTGTACACATGCAAAACAAGCGAGTAAATAAACACCCAAATCACATCAGTACAAGACAGGAAAACCACAGCTGCAAAAAGAAATAAAAATTCTCTTCTCAAACAATATATCACACCAGAAAAGCAGCCTAAACAGTTCTTTTTGACAATATCACACCAGAAAGGCGAACAGGAAATATTCAGTTCTTTATGGGAAGGCAAACATTTCCTTTCCCTCACAAGACAAAACATCAATGGAAACTGAAGTGGTTTGTGTCAGAACTAACATCTCATTAAGCTCATTCACTCCAACAGATCGGATCGGTTCAACACCTTCCTCGTCACTACGAAGAGCTGTATCATAGGTTTGACAGTATGCCTCTATAGATACTCAAACTATTCCAGTGCAGACTTTCCAAAATAGCTAGCATGATCTGGTCCAAAACTACGGTATTAATTTTTCTCAAATTCCTCTTTCATATGATAAAAAAATGTTATACAGTGGAACTCGGATTCATCGAGGTTGCCGGGCCTGACCTAAAATCTTGTTGAATCCGAGTGTTCATTATAGCAAACACGAGGTTTTGTGTAGATAATTACAGGCACTGAGCAAGTAATGTATAAAGATAAGTCGAAAGTAGTGCCTGAAATGCCTGCACATTATGAGCCGTGGAATAAAAAGATCTATTCCTTCAAATGAACACGCCTGTGTCATCTTGATTGTTTACCAAAAAGTTGTTTTGCTATGTAGAGCCTAGCATACGGAAACTTTGGATTCCATTGACCAGCACAAAATTCATTACGTAGATCTACATCAAAACTAATAATAATAATAATAAACTAGCTTATCATTGTAATAATGATCAGTTGCAGAGGGGGAAAAAGACCTGTGATGCGTTTGTACCTGCGAAGTTTAACGCCCAGACCGCAAATGACTCCCCCCCCCCCCCCCCCCCCCCCCCACCACCGACACGCACACACAGCCACAAGTGTGCAGGCCGCCCATCTGACCCAGAAACAGGCCAGAGTAGACGCGTGTCAACAATGCGTGTGTTGGTATGAAAAAAGGAACTGGGTGAATAATGGTTCACGATGCAGGTGCAATGGATGGTTTCCGGGAATAGATAAAGTTAATTCTAGGAGAAAAATGAGCAAAGCCATGTCTGCGGGGGCTGTTCACCCTGGAAGCGACCTCGTTGAATCCCAGCTTGCTGATTTTAAGTGTTCGGTGAATCCAGAATATTTTTATTGACTTTAAAGAAGAAAAAAAAAACAGGGAATCTATCTCATCTCATTGAATCCGAGTTCTCGTTGAATCTGAGCTCGTTGAATCAGAGTTCCACTGTAACACTTTGTTAAACACAAAAAAAAAGAATTAGTGGACAAAATGAAACATGTGTACTATACAGGTGCCTGCCTGCGGAAGAAATTACACCCAGGAGAGTAGAAAGTTTAATAACTCCCTCCACGAGAAAAAGTCTGAACATTCATTCCTCTGCTCAGCAAAAAGTCAACTTTTGCCTCACACGATAGCAATATGCAAAGTGCCTGAGAATAATAATAATAATAAATAAGAAGTCAAGTCCTGAAGAATAAATAATATCACAGAAAGCCAGGGGTTCCTTAACTGGGGTGGATGTTGGGAAAACAGCTTCAACAGCCAGACATCATTTCCCAGATTGGTTAACCCTTTATCATTTAGTGCTTCCAACAGCCCAAAATAAAAAGTAAGGAAAATTCTGCCGGGGATCTGGGGGCCCAGCAGGGTCCAGGGACAGCATCCCGGAGGGCGTCCAGGGGGCGAAGCCCCAGAAGAAATTGAAATTTCGTGCTTTCAGGGGGTTAAAAAAAAGGCATTTGGGAGCCTGTTTGAAGAGATTGCCAACAACCCATAACACCTATTTTTTTCATCAAAATCACTGCTCAAACTCATAGTAAAGTAATAACTTGAAAGGCTCAAGTAGACTTACCAGTGTGAGAGTTGTATCAACTGAGGGAAGGCAAGATGCAGTGACTCTGAAAATCTGCCAATCTTGAACAGAAAGCTAAAATGTAGTGATAATTTACTCTCCCTGTCACCCATCCAATGAAACGCAAACGCGTTAGTTCAATAAGAAGGCTTACAGGGTATGGTGGATCCCGATTCCATGCAAGGCCTGCACCAAAGAGCGTTTTGCACAGAGCTTTAATCAAAATTCTAAAACCTGTTAGCAAGTTGCCTTCAGCACCCCCGAGTGTACCTTTAAAATAAAATAAAAAATTCCTCCCATTCTGGAGCCATATTTTGCAATGCTCAGACTTTGAATCAACTCTGACAACCCCAACAAACGCTGGTTCTCACACTCACACAATGCTGTAGCATGTGATGCGAAAGCGCGCAGGTTCATTGACCGGTCACGATGACGAACCGCACAAGCTGAAAATCGGACAACGCTTGTATTTTCTTTTCTTTTCTTTACAAATGACAAATGCTGATTTATTTGCATGGCGCACAGCGTTTATAATGCACGACCCACATGTCACAAATGTTGCAGTATCAGGCTATCATCGGCAAATTTCTGGGTGGTAAAGAAAGTGAAAGTAGATCTTGATTATCCTGATGGAATCTCAGTGTCACATACACTTCCATTGGCCGCCATAGCTGCTTGTTCGTGTGAAGCGTACTCTCGGACCAGGAAAAGTCAAACGAACATCACAATCGCGATCGGCAAAAATGAATTTACTGACCAATCCGATTTTGATTTTTATATTCTGGGGGTTTTTCACAAATTTCCTCATACTCCCCGGCCTGGCAGGTTCCTATAATATTTTTACTTATTGCCGACAAATTACTGTAAATATATTCTGTAACTTACTTATACAAGACGACGCAATGGAGGCCATTTGCCTCAGAATTTCGGTAGCCCTACACTATCGCACTTTTTTACAGATGGAGTTGATAACGATTGGGGAGCAAGTTCGGAACTGTCAGAAAGTACGGATTTCCATAAAAATATGGAAGATTGGAAGCGCTGATCACTTCCCAGAGTGGTAACCCCTAAATCATGTCCCACACTCTTTTTTATCATGCCTTACAGTGGTCAGTCAGCACCACGTTCCACAGTGGAACTGTAACATTTTCTCAGTCACCGGAATATTAATAAAATGTGGTCCCAGCCTCTGACACGGGGTAACTTCTGAGTAGTGTTAGTGTTAGCCTACAAGTATGCTACTCTCAAATCCAGCTACTACATGCAGCTGCAGTCATCTGAATACAATAAATATTTGCAAGCACCTGAAAAAGTATTTTAAAAAACTTACATCATCCACAAAAACAAGCATTCATTAAAGGGTTCTTTTTCTTTTAGGCTAAGAAAGCATGTTTGAATTCTGTCCCGTATATATATATTGCGAGTTCAGAACTGACTTCTTACAAACTGTGCTGGTAAAAATGACGATAAGAGTGCAATATTAGGGTTTACCAAAATTGTGAGGCTGTGAAGCGTATGTCCGCGTATATTATCTGTGAAGTGAGATTATGAGGCTGTGAAGCGTAAGTCCGCGTATATTATCTGTGAAGTGAGATTTTATGTGTTATAAATAATGGGAAGAAAAGTGTAATAAAAAAAGTGGAATTGCATAGGGGAATGAAATCACCACATGTGAAAACAGTTTTGACTATGCTCAGCTCATTTTGACAACTTTTACGGCCGATAAAGACATTGACTATGCTCGGACCTTAAAGAGACTAAATAGCTCACTTTGACATAATCTATATACAGATTCACTTGCACTACCTATTTTCTACGAGAAACATTTTAGTGTCAAATATTCTTCTCACAAAACTCACAGGTACTTCTTTGAGATAAGGTACACAACTTCCTGTGTGTAGATAGTTTTTATCAACTACATAACTGCCAACTTTTCAAAACCATGATACAGACTCTACCCACGCCACGGGGTAAGATGGTGAGCATTGAAGTTCATAATTTCTCTTTAGAATCCCAAAGTCTGTGAGAAGCAATACCAGAAAAAAGACAATACATATTTGTGAGGCGTGCTGACAAAATGAGTTACTTCTCGCTATCCACAAATCCAGATATTGGCCAAATACGGTCAAATTTGTAGATTTTTTATTGATGCCAAATGCTCGAAGTATAACATGCCTATTATCATTACATTCTTATAAAATTTTAAAAACTTCACCTATTTCCGTAAGAATTGAATCCGAGAAGTAACTAATTTTGTCAGCAAGCTTCACTTTTTCTAATACAAAAACATATTAAGGCCCTCAAAAACATATCTAATTAATTTCTTTCCTACCATTTGGCAGCTATGTGAAAACAATGAGTAAATATTTTCAAGATGAGGGCATTTGTCCAAGTTGGGAGGCATTTTCTGCAACCATACTTCCAATTCACTATCTTTTAATTTTATTCAATACCGAGTTTCTTAACTGACCTTGAAAGATATTACAAGCACATTAGAAAGTTTAACTAGTCTTACAACAGACTGGGAAACTGGGACAATCTTGCTGTGACTTCTTACGCCACAACAAAATCCGCGCTCTCTTTGATCTCTTCCCTGCCCTTCGACTCATCCAGCGTTGTCAGTTTCTCCAATTCTCCGCTGTTATGTAGAGAGGTGATGGCATCTGCAAACTCCACAATCAGTCTGCAGAAGACAGAATTTTCTTGTTTTAGCTCCATGCTATGATGAGAATGATAATAGATAGCAATCATGCTGCGCAGTTTCATTTTCTTAAAAAAAAAGAAGCTCAATGCACATAACATTCAATTACATTTTAAAATTACTCGACAGGTGTATAGGCAAGACATGATATCATAATATTAGAAAGCATTTGTATAGCGCAAATTCATGGTCAACAGCAAGCTCTATACACTTTACAATCTATAATATATGTACAAAACAATGATGATAATAATAATAATAATAAATTGCATTTATATAGCGCAATTCCACAAAAAAGTGCTCAATGCGCTGTACAATAGAACAAAAAGAACGTATGCAGTGCACAGCTCCTATAGTAATCCTCTTTCTCTCTCTCTCTCTCTCTCTCTCACTCTGTCTCTGTCTTTCTCACTCTCTCTCCAGTGCATCCTTGAGTAAAGACAATCCCACAAAACTTACCCTGACACTCTCGTACACACTGATGACATCACAGTCATAAATTGTTACAGAACACGGAAATTACAGATTTAAGCTGGACTGATACAAATCTGTTTAAAGTGTCGATTTGAATTTTGTTTAAGAGGTAGACTCCTGTAAATGAGCTGGCAAAGCGTTCCATAGGGAGGGGGGAGGAGGGCGTGGTGTGAAAAAGCTCTCCCTCTGAGTCTCTGACTTTTGCTTTGGACAGGTCTTAAAAGTCTTTTCTTCGCCGATCTTAAAGGCTGAGATGGTATGTATTCGATGACCATGTCACAAAGATATGATGCTGCAATGTTGTTGACACACTTAAAACAAAGAACAATAATTTAGTACTGAATTCGTGCTTTCGCCAATGTAGTTGAATTAGCATTGGTGTTACATGACCTTTTAGAAATTTCTTTAAAATTATGAGAGCAGCTTGGTTCTGGAGCCGCTGTAACCTATTTAACGTTTCAGGGGGAAGATTTCCAAACAAAGAATTGCAGGTGTCCAGACATGAAAGGACAAAAGAAGAAATGAGGGTTTTGATGGAATCAACAATAAGATATGTTGACATTTGTCCTATTCTGCGTAATTCTAAATAAATAACTTTACATAGATGGTTTTTATGAAGGTGCATGGATAATTTGCAGTCAAAATAAACGCCTAGATTTTTCGCTTTATCTGTGAAAAAGATGTTATCATTCCGAACATATATGGTAAAAATTGCAAAACAATATTCCTGGTTTGGCATTGCAAAACAGAAGTTTGGTCTTATCATCATTCATTTTAAGTCTGTTTGATATCATCCCTTTTTTCAACTCAACAATACATTTTTCCATGCTGGTAATTAGACAATTGAAATTTGTTGGTAAAACAGACTTGTACAGCTGAGAGTGGTCCGCGTACATGTGGTAGTTAACGTCGTGCTTCCTAATTATTGAATCTAAAGTGTGATAGTGTGTATAAGAGTGGTTTGAGAACAGACTCTTGGGGTACGCCAAATTGCAAGCTGAAAATGGATGACATTTTACCATTTACAAGTACATGATACCGCATTTATATTATATGAACTTATTGTGTTACATGGGCATGGTGACTTTCTTATTCCAAAATGTGAAAGATGTTTCAAAACGGTATCTGAAACAGTACATTGACGCAGTTGGTTCACGAGTGTCAATTGATCCTTGGGGTACTCAATTTTTGTGGAGCAGTGCTCTTCTCTGTCAACACACAACAACCTAGAGTCACAATAAAACCCACAGGAAAAAAGAGAAAAAGGCTCCTGTAAACACTGTTGGTAAGCACACATTCTGTCACGGGAGCCGAGAATATACGCTGGGCTGTATGGTGTTGTGAGTACAGATCCTAGGGCCATGCAATATAGGTTGAAAATGGCTATGGCGGTCACTGGTATCTTCAACTACAAACTAAAATTCTTCTATTTTGAATCCATTTCGACACAGAAATCCATGATTTATATTATATCAAAGAAACCACGGTGAATAGAAGGAGATGAGGGAGAAAGAAGAAGCTAATTAAAACACATACCTGTCCATCCATGTGAGGCTGTGGGGCCAAAACCAGCCGTGCTCAAAGAAGCCCAAGTGACCCCCGTGTTTGGTAATAGCGTAGATGCAGTTCTGTAGCTTCTCTGAATGAAAAGATGAAACAAACACAGCATTTTAAGATAAGATAAGATAAGATACATCTTTATTGTCCAGATCCTGGCACATTGGTTTGGTGTTCCACCATGTGTACACACACACACACGCATACACACACACACACACACACACACGTACACACACATGCACACACAAGTAGGCTTACAATCACACGCATAATATAAATGAGCAGCAATATAAACAATAATAACCATAAGCTAGATACACACTCAATGTTATTTTGATGCATGAAGCGTCTCAGAATGTTTGTTTTAGTAAAAGTTTTGAGGCTCTTGCAACATAAATTGGTCATATCAAGTGCTGAAGATTTGAGAACGACATACAAAGAAATGGGAAAAAAGGAGAGATAAGGTTGATAGACGTTTGATATTTGATAGGAAAGAAAGTGCAAAACACACGAGACCACCTGCCAACCACCCACTTGAAGCATCATGTAGACTGAAAATACAGTCAAGGGCAAAAGTGTGGGAATAGAAGGTTGGATCAGAAAATAACTGAAGTAGCTATCTAGTTGGTAAGATATTGACTTTAAACTTGTGAAGCAGCTCGTCAAAAAAATGAAAATGAAGAAACTGGCATTCTCCTGCAGGTTTGGGAATTTTCATCAATTTTTTTTTTTAGCTCAACACCTTTCATGTCCATTAACTCACTTGAGCCTATTCCCATGTATTTATGGGACGTCGCTGGCCCATTGGCCTGATCCCATGCATTTACGGAATGCGCTTTATCGATCAATATCTCCTGTGTTTTCCATTTACAAGCAACAGAAGGCAGTGAGCCAACAGTGAACCCACTTGCTTTGTTTAATGAAAAATTTGGTGAAGTTATGTGAGATACTTTTTCTTAGCTATAACTATGTCAGTAATCCCTGCATTGTGATAGATGATTTTCTCATAAATTGGGTGGAAAAAAAATAGCGTAACCCCCC